GGGAGGGAGAGGCAAGAGAATGGTGAGGACTGGGGGATTTTAGACTGAGTGCTCCTTACGTGCCACACACCATGCTAGGCATCAGGCACAGAGCTATGAACATGCCTTGATCACTGTCCTCATGGAGCTGATGGCAGGGTGGACATTGGATAAGCAAGGACAATACACAGAATATGACAGTTGGTGTTTATTATCACCTTAATAGAATCTAGGATCAGCAGGGAGGCAGACCCGAGCATGTCCGTGAAGGGGATTATCTCCATTACTTTACACAAGGTGGGAAAACTGGCCCACTGTGGGTGGCACTAGCCCCTGGCTGGGATCCTGGACCGTGTAGGTGGACAGGGGAAATGAGTAGCAGCATGTGGTCATTGCTTTCGTCAAGTGTGGTAGTTTGAATGTAACTGGCTCCTGTAAGCTCATACAGAGTGGCACTATTAGGAGGTATGGCTTTGTTGGAGGAGGTGTGGCCTCACTGGAGGAAGTGTGTCACCGTGGGAGTAGGCTTTGAGGTCTCATAAATGCTCAAGCCATGCCCAGTGTCTCAGTTCACTTCCTGTTGCCTGTGGATCAAGATGTAGGACTCTCAGCTCCTTCTCCAGCACCATGTCTGCCTGCATGCCACCATGTCCCACCATGATGATAATGGACTGAACCCCTGAAACTGTAAGTTACCCCAATTAAATGTTTCCTTTATAAGAGTTGCTGTGCTCATGGTGTCTCTTCACAGCAACAGAAAGGGAACTAAGAGGTGAAAGTTGGCGGAGGAAACTAGAGCGGGAGAGAGGAGGGAACATGGCAGGCGGGGCAGCAACTGGTCCCCTCCATGACAGACAGAAGAGATAACGGTAACACAACTGCGTGTTTACAGCCCGCCAAGAACGGGTCTGTGTTTACTCATGTAACTGTAGAGAGTGGGCACGGTAACAATCCCACTTGAAATGGGGCACAGAGAAGTGAGTCACCCTTGAGTGTTGGAGCTCGGACTCCAGGAACGGGGCTGGAACAGTGATGGGGGCCTCTTGGAGGAGGTGGCATTTGAGTTGACTCTAGAACTAGAGAGATGGAAAACCTGCGCGCCAACCCCAGGAGGCTGGGCCTGGGGAGGGCACAGCTTACCGTGGAATAGTCGGAGCCATGCTTCTCCTTCACCCCGTTCCGGCAGAGCGTGTAATTATAAAATCGGGAGTTTTTAAGCAGTCCGACCCACTCCTTCCAGCCTGGAGGCACATAGGAACCGTTGTACTCATTGAGGTATTTTCCGAAGAAAGCTGGAAGGGAACAGGGATCAGAGGCGTGAGGGAGCAGCCAGACTTGGCCTTGGCATCACTGAACGATGTTGACAAACATGACTGTTCACAGCCAGAGACCAATACGCCCCCTGCCCTTTGGCAAGAGGGGGAGCCCAGGGCCCCTTCTCGCAGAGATTCGCATGTACAAGATAAAAGGGATGGTAGGATTACAGGGAAAAGGCAAGGCATTGAAATATGGCTGTAGAAATACTAAAATAATGTACAGTAGATGATATGTCCTTTAAAAATTAAGGGGTCAAAAGCAGATGGAGGGATGGCTCAGGGGTTAAGAATATGCACTGCTTTCCCTGAGACCTGAGTTCAGGTCCCAGCACCCATGTCAGGTGACTTACAATTGCCTATAATGCTAAACACACACACACACACACACACACACACACACACACACACCTTAAAATAATTTTTAAGTAAAAATAATAAAAATTATGAAATATATCAAAAGCAAAAACTTGCCGAGGAGTGATAATTTCTAAGTAGCGGTGAGTGAAAGTATTTGGTTCTGTGGTCTCTGTAATAACTGTAGCGGTACTCAAATGGCAGTGGCCCCTCCCTCCCCTCCCCACCCCCCACCTTCTCTTCTCTTAACAAGGACTAATACTGTGGCCCAAGCTACCCTGGAACTATGTAGACCAGACCAGCTGCAAACTCATGGCAATCCTCCTGCCTCAGCCTCTTGAGGACTAGGATTACAGCTATGAACCACCACATCCTGCTTAAAATGTCAGTGATTTCTATGGATGACAAAGTCCTGGATTCTGGTTTGTGGCCTGTGAGCATGGTGGAAGCAAACAGGTCATTTCTGCTGTAGGTCAGTGAGAAGTCTGAGTCTCATCTCCTCTGTGGTGGTTTAAGAGAGAATGGCTGGCCCAGGTGCTTATATTTGCACGTTTGGTCTCCCAGTTGGTGAACTGTTTGCAAAGATTAGAAGGTGTGTCCTTGTTGGAAGAGGTGTGTCCTGGTTAGAGGAGGTGTGTCGCTGGAACACATGGGCTTTGAGGTTTCAAAAGCCCACGCTAGGCCTAGTCTCACCCTGTCTGCCTACTGCCGGTGAATCAGGATGCAGAACTCTCAGCTCCTTCTCCAGCACCATGCCTGCCTGCCTGCCACCATGTCCCACCATGATGATAATGGACTCTCATGATAATGATGAGAGTCCATGATGATGGACCCTCCACTGACACTGTAAGGGAGCCCTAATTAAATGCTTTCTTTTGTAAGAGTTGCCTTGGTCATAGTGTCTCTTCACAGCAGTAGAACAGTGACTAGATACCCCTTGTTCAGGCCTATGGATGCTCTGGAGTCCATCTTCCACAGTCCCAGAAAAGGTGACAGTACCCCAAAGTTTGGTGGGGATGGGACCAACAGGTGTTCTTGCAGATAGCTAGGGTGTGCCAACTGGCCCAACACTTTGGAATCTCTTTGGCACTGTCAGCCGAACTTGAACATGGGCTCTGACCCAGCAATCTGAATATTTACCCCACAGCAAAGCATGCACATATTCATCAGAGCCACCCAGGATATGGTGACAGCAGCACACTCAGAAGGCAAATAGAAACAAGAAGTTCATTAGGGGGGAAGATGTGTCATGAAACTCTGGAATGTATTTATATAATAGAAAATGGCACAGGCTTGCACTATATCCAAGAGTGTGGGCACATGCTAACAGTATGAGAGATAGACCAGGTAGAAATCAACTGGGAGAATCTTTACAGGGCTGGAGACGGCTCAGAGGTTAAGGGCATATACTGTTCTTGCAGAGAAGCCAAGTTTGGTTCCTACCATCTACACTGGGCAATGGTTGGTAAACTCAAGCTGCAGGGACCCAATGCCATCTTCCAGCACAGGAGTCTCACTCATTCACCACACACACACACACACACACACACACACACACACACACACACACACACCCAAAATCTAAAAAATAAAATTTAAAATATCAATTCCAGTGACATTTTTAAAAAGATGTAATTTAGGGGCTGGAGAGATGGCTCAGTAGTTAAGAGCATTGGCTGTTCTTCCAAAGGATCTGGGTTCAATTCCCAGCACCCACATGGCAGCTCACAACTGTCTATAGCTCCAGTTCCAGGGATCTGGCACCCTCACACAGACATGCATGCAGGCAAAACATCAATGTACATAAAATAAAAATAAATACATTAAAAAAAAGATGTGATTTAATGAAATTCAAAATCTGGGCAGCAGAAATCCACAGTGCTGGATGCAGGGAGGGGAGGAGGTTGGGGGGCCTGGGGGCTTTTAGCACCACGGTCCCACTTTATTTCTTGCAGAAACACAGAGGCCCACTGGTGGCCTTTGTGGTGTGGCCATCTGGCCACTGTGCACTTCTGTGTCACACTTATCAACAACGATGCCTGTGGTTAACAAAAGCACACCGATCCGAACTTCATCAGGCAGGGGGGAGATGTGGAGCTTCTCCCCGAGGACGAGGGGACAGACTGTTCTGCTCAGAGGTCACACTTTAGTCCCCTATTTCCAGACAGGGACTCTGAGGTCCCGAGTCACTCCTCCATGATTGAGGCCAGTACAGCACTTTATCTGAGGTAGGAAGGTATGAGAACTCAAGGCACACGGATAGGAGATGCGCCCTGTGACAGGGAGTGCCTGTGGGTGTTGGTGTAACACTCAGGATGAGAGAGGTATGGAAGGAAATGCTTATAGGAGAAGGCAGGAGGGGCTGGGCTCCTGTGGGTCCAGAGGACAGTGTTGGGCCTCCATGATGGACCTTAGAGAACAGACCTGGGGGCAGCCTGCTGCCTCAGGGGATAGCAGCAGCAACAAAGTGGGATCCTTGGAGACCTGGCAGGTGGCTGGTGGAGAGAACCATGTTCTTGGAGCTTGGGATTCCAGAGTTCCTCAGGTACAGGACAAAGGAGACATGTCTGCTGAGGACTCCTCAGTAGCTCCTGAGAGATGCAGAGGAAATACGGCTTGCAAGAATCGAGGCACCAGAGAAGTGAAAACAGGAAGAAGAATCCTTCTGTGGGAAGGTGGAGAGACGAACAGACAGAACCTGGTGTGTGTGTGTGTGTGTGTGTGTGTGTGTGTGTGTGTGTGTGTGTAGTGTAGTGTTTCTGGCTGGGTGACTGGAGTGACGAGGTCCTCGGAGGCAAGCAGATCCCACAGCTCTCTGGAAGAACAAGAAGCCAGTCTTTCCCTTCCCACGGAGCACGACAAGGTCATGCTAGGGTGGTCTAGGACGAAGGTCAAGATGCCCTGTTGTGCACGCTCAGTTCTCCAAGTGGACCTTCCATCCAGGCTGCCCTTGTCTCTCAGATGGTCCTGGTAGCTCAGAGGGTGGTACCTCTAGCGTTATGATGGATGACTCTAAGGGCTACTAGATGGCTACCCCTACTCCAACACCCAGGGCAGCCTCCTGGCCACAAAGAACCTTCCAGAACAAAATGTCAGTGGTGCCCAAGAGGAGAAACTGTGACCTTATTTAAAAACTCCACCATCCCCAGCAGCCCTGGAGCATCTCTGGGTCCTTTGGAGCCATACTCTGAGAGCTGAAAAGGCCCGAGGAGATCAGGGCTGCCTCAGGCCAGATCTAATCAACCCCCTCAGTGTTCCAGGGTCCTCATTCCTCAATGCAGGCGATTCTGCCTTCATGCTCTACTCCACGACATGCCTACCTCTTCACTCCCCATTGCCCCTCCTGCTTGAGAGTCCACATACAGCAGGGCCCAGTGGGTCCACCTCCAGGCTAGACCACCTCTGTGGCAGGTACCCTTGTAGAAAACAGGGGCAGAAAAGACATCAGCAAATGGCTGTGTCCCAGTAAACCTTTATTTATAAGAACAGATGGACGGCCGGATATAGTCCATGGACCAGAGTTTGCTGACCACTAGCCCAGACAACTTGAGGGTTTGAAGGGATAAATTGGGAACTCGGGAGCCCAACCCTTTTTTCTGGCTTATCCTTGAGAGAGAGAGCGCTGTGGGTGGGTGCTGTTTTAAGAAGGAATTTTTTAGCATGTGCGTGCGGGGGTTGGGAGGTACTTCAGCTGGAGCTTGGAACACGGCTTGGAAGCTCAAATGTCATCAGGATTCAGAAGCCTTTCCACGTTACCTTCACCAGACCCCGGTTGGCTCCTGTCATTGTTACCGTCCTTTCTGTACTGGCTCAGAACTTCAACAACGAAGAAGGTAAGAGAGCCCCCCACCCCCACCCCCACCCCCCAGTCCTGGAATACTGGGGTATGTGTGGAGAGATGCTAGGTAGCGAGAGCATGCTCCTCCTCTTCCGGAAGACCCAGGTTTGGTTCCCAGCCCCCAAGCTCCCAACTGCATGTTAACTTCAGCCTCAGGATATCTGGTGCCCTCTTCTGGCCATGGAGGGCAATTGTACACATGTGGCATCCACTCACACAGACACACATTATACATGTAAATAAAATTTAGAAATATATTACAAATAAAAATAAAATTAAAACGGAAAAAGTATATATGTACAGGGATGGAAATGTTTCCTCTGGAAGCCACTGAAGTGCAAAGAGTGAAAAAAAAAAAAGAGAGCCAGTTATCAATCAAAACCACAGTAGAACTGGTGAATTTGGGGTAACAGCCCCAGGGCATGTATGGCTTCACATTCATTCAACAGCCTCTGTCATATAAAAGGCTGGTTGGTCACCTACAGCCTGCGCTTCCTGAGGTGGTGGTATGGTATGGTAGGGTAAAATATGCCCTGCAGGCTCATGTGTTTGAACACTGGATCCCCAGCAGGTGGCGCTGTTTTGGAAGGTTGTGTAACCATAGGGTCACGTAGCCTAGATAGGCAAGTGGACCACTGGGGGGCAGGCTTGACAGGATTATCCACTCGCAGTGTGGCAGCCTGAGAGACACTGTGCAGGCAGGGGGAACTGCAAGGTACAAAGTCCTGTGATAGGAGCAAGCTTGGGACATTTGGGGAACCCAAGGTAGAAGAGCAGGAGGGAGGAGGTGACGTCATAGGAAAAGGGGCTCCTGGAAGCTAGTGAGCAGGAAAGTGGCCAGAGCCTTCCAGCATCCATATCTGCCAGATGTTGTATTTCATGGATGGTGTCCTGGGACACATTTACAGCACTGTCATGTCCTCCAAAGAACCCAGGACCACAGCTTGCTCAGGAAGTAGGAAACAGCTCCTGACTGGGCAGATGAGTGACAACCAGAGAAAGGTGGCTGAATCCCACAGTGGCTCTGGGTTTCCTCCCAGCTCTCCCGGGTCCCAGGCTGGGGATCCCCAAAGATGAAGGCCAAGGTCTTTGTGATGCTGGTGTGCTCCAAATGCTCACAGTCACTGGTGCTTGGCCAGGCGAGCGGGATGAGGGAGCCGTGCTCTTCCCTGCCCATCCTCTGTACCAGGAATATCACAGTTCCTGTCATCTCCTCTCATCCTTTCTTCTTTCCAGCCCTGGACCCTTGCGAAACCCAGAAAGACCTTATTATCCAGGCTCCACGAAGCCCCAGAAATCAGGGCTTCAGTTGGAGGCTTTTAGTGCCAAATTAGATTTTGCTCTCATTTGATTAGATTTCCCCAGGGCAATTTTTAAAATGGTTATTCCGGCACCAGTAGAGGTGGGAGAAGCAGATTAGCGTGGGCCGGGGGGCTGAGAGTCGCAGCCAAGAGAGAGAGCTGGAGCGAGAGCCAAGAGGAGCATTGCAGCCCAGATCGTAGCTGGGGCCGGGAAACTTGTTCTCTCAGAGTGGTAGTGGCTGGGATGGTACCTGAGGGAGGGGCCTGGGGGCTGGTGCTGGGACAGAACAATGTGGCAGCAGATTAAGACTATGGCAGGTCAAGAAAGGCCAGAGACAATGTACAAGCCAATGCTAGTCCCCAGGAAGCAGGGCTGGATTGACATCCCCTGACAGGATGTGTAGCAGACTGGTCCTGTGAGCCAGGTCCAGGGCCTACGTCTACAGTGGGGAAGTGATTTGCATGCCCTGTCCTGACTGTGGTTGAGAAGTCCTGGAGACAGAGCACAGGCTTCAGCTGCCATGGTTTATGTACAAATGCCCTCTGCTACACGGTGCAGCCTGTCCCCTCAATGCATAAACTGATTGTGCAAAGGATAAACTGTGCGGCCAGGACATCAGGATCAAGGGTCAAGGGTGTCCCTTCCTGCATGGCCTGCAGTTGACGCATTGTCACCAAAGCCATTCAGTTCCTGAGTGGACAGCAGGGTGAGAAGTGGTGTTGTTTCCCACACCTGGTGACAGAGCAGTCCCACATAGTCACCAGAGGGAACTCGGTGACAGAGAAAGCACTCTGGACAGACGAGGCAGACACAAGAGACACACAGGTGGTGCCACTGTCCCTGAGACGCCACTGGTAGCTGGAGGAACTTAGCTGAAGGCAATCCTGAAGGACATCAGTGAAGAAAAGTGGGCATGACAAAAATAATGAACATACAGGACACAAGGAGCCCAGGGGTAGCTTACAGATTGTAGGGGTCGGTGGGGGCGGTGTGCAAACACTGTACCTCTTCCCGAAGGAAGTGACATTACCTACTCTAAACAGGACAGGTGAGATGTCTCACTAGGGAAGAGGAAGAGCCCTAGTCCCCAAGTCAGACAACCTGAGACCAATCTCTGAGACCCATGTGGTAGGAGAGAAAAGACTCTCGAAAGTTGTTCTCTGACCTCTAACACACACACACACACACACACACACACACACACACACACACACACACACACACACACATTAAAAAAAATGCAGTGACTTCAAACCCATCACCTCCCAAATCCTCACATGAAAGGAACTCCACAGAAATCCTGCAGCATTGAAGACGGTGTGCCCTTGGCAAATTTTTTCTTTCTTATTTCCTGAAATAGGGTCTTGCTATGTAGCCTAGGCTGGCTTAGAACACTTGATCCTCCTGTCTCAGCCTCCTGAGTGCTAGGATTACAGGTCTGGGCCAGTGTGCCTGGCTCTTTCTCTCTCTGGATACCTCAGCCTCTCCTTCTATGATGGAGATAATAAGTGTCCCCTCTGGGTTCCTCAGGACTTCGAGTGGTTCCAGGCCCCTGTGGATACGAAGACACAGCTTTTCCAGACCACAGACCCACACAGAGTCCAGGACACTTCAGCCTGTCCCAGGGTTCCTTATACCACTTAATTCGACATAATGCTACACGGATAGTTGTTACACTCTCTAGTCTGGGATATAATGACAAGAAAGCAATTCTAGGCATGCCTAGCACAGACACACTTTGTTCCGAACACGCCTGATCCTTGGTGGTTGAGCGCACAGAGGTAGAATCTGCAGAGATGGCACGGTGGTGGTGGTGGTGGTGGGGGGGGCGGGGGCTGACTGTTCACGGATATTGCTTAAAATCCACACGACACAAGTTCCTAAAGGGCCGCTAAAATCATTCATCACAGTGAACATCTGGTCCTCAGCCTACCAGCTTCTTGCCTGTTAGTACCTTGTCTAATTGATGCCAGATGTGGGAAATCACGTGCGCACTCACCTTCCTATGTGAGGGATCAGCCCCCAAGTCCTTCCCTGCTCTTCCCTGCCCTGCCCAGTGCTCACCACTTGGAGCAGGCAGCTCAGCTGGCATGTGCCTCCTCCCCTCCTGGCTGTCTCGCTCCACTTGTCTGAGTTAAGGGTTGCTGGGGAGCCATTCACCGACTGATGGGAGGCACAAGCCCTTCTGTTATCTCTCCCAGCCCTGAAACAAACTCAAATTGCCTCATAACAATGCATTTGTGGTCTGGAAAAGCTGTGTCTTGCAGCGACCAGGGATAGAGACGAGCTGGCTGGAAGCCTGGCACTGGAGGGCACAGGAGGCATTGCTGTGGGTATTCGGGTAATGGAGGAAACAAACAGGACTCTCAGAGGACACATTTTGTTGTTGTTGTGTGTGGTGTATGGATGGATGTGCACATGTATGTGTAGGGGTGTGTGCGCATATGGATGTCAGGGGCTGACATGGAGTTTATTCCCCTAGCTCTCTCCTTCTTATCCTTTGAGACAGGGTTTTCAGTGGACCTAGACTGGCTCACTGTGTTTACCATTGGTTAGCCCAGCTGGCCACCATGTTCCCAGGATCCTCCTGCCTCTGCTTCCCAGTGCTAGTTTTACCAGTGTATGCTATCCCACCTCGCTTTTTCTGTGGGTGCTAGGGATTCGAACCCAGGTCCTCATGCTCAGATAGCAAACACTTTCCCTTCTGAGCATCTCCTCAGCCCAGGGCGTGTGTGTGTGTGTGTGTGTGTGTGTGTGTGTGTGTGTGTGTGTGTGTGAGAGACCTCCTGGCATCTGCTCCCCTTTACCTTGTGGCCCAGGAGGCAATGTGGCAGAATGGGTAAGCACAAACCTGCAGAGTGACCGCATCTGCACCTTGGACCTGCCAGCTCCTCGTGGAACACCATGCTGAGGGTATCACCCCTCTGTTTTGTTTGGCAGTGGGGGCTCAACACTAGGGTTCACTGCTGTGCAGGAGGCCAGCACGTGTGAAAGATGCCGATCCATGCCGCGGTCTGCTGCAGGGCTGGCTGGAGGGCTCGCTCAGCCCGCAGTACAGCCCGTTCCTCCCTCCCTGGTCCCTGGCCATCTGGGTAGAGTTGTCAACAGAGCTGTTTCAAGGACGGCAGCAATTTTGGCACAGGCTCATCCTACACCACCTCCACCCACATTGAACATCCAACAGAACTGATAAATAACCACTAAGGAGCTGAAATGTTCTGGAGCCGACCCGCTGAATCACACTATGCACGGCTGACATTTCATTAAATACTTATTTTCGTGTGGCAGTTCACTCCCGTAATGTGAGGCCAATACACACCCACATTCCCACACTGTTTGCCCTCTCTTCCCTTCCTTCTAAGACCCTGGGAGAGCCACAGCCACCAACTTCAGTCCCTCGGTCACCAAGGTTCCTATTGTCAGTCAGTGAGTCTCCTGTGCCCCAGGGACACACATGTGCCCGAGGGCCCACACCTTGAGGTCAGAGACATAAAGGCAGAAAAGGGTGTTAGGTCCTAAGAACCCACCGGGAGACCATTGTTCAAGAGCTGTACCCAAGTCCCCAGAGCCCTGCTGGTGGCTCTTTCGAGCCTATGTCCAGAGCCCACAAAGTGGGTGAGCATGCTGGCCAAGGAAGTACGAAAAAGGGGAGAGGTTTAGGGACCAGGGATGGAGCTCACTGCTGGAGTGTGC